GAAAATAAGATTATGAAGTGATTAAATGTGTTTTTTAACAATTGAAAAGTCATTTCGAAACAGTGTCTATTTTCCCGCTGGTCATCGTCTATTTTCCCTCTATTTTCACCACTTCCATCAAGTTCCACAACAAGCACCAAAAAAAAAAAACAAAAAAAGCTAGCTACGAGATTCAAACATGAGCCCTTTTCATTACTTCAAAATTTCATATGCCTCAACCATCTTAGCTAAAGTGCATTTGTTTGTCATGTTGCAAATCGTATAATCAAAAAGCAACAATATATATATATATATATATATATATATATATATATATATATATATATATATATATATATATATATATATATATGTTAAATTTCGGGGGCTCCGAGATTTGGCGAGGCCCGAAGCGGTAGCGTAGCTTGCATTGCAATCACTTCTTTTTACTTATCTATAATACTAAAATGACCAACACTTCAAAAGCAAACTAGTTCCTCCATGGTAGGATAGTTGCCTTGATTCAATTGTGAGCTCATATTGGCATATTCAACACAAAAATCCTTAATGGGGGCCTAAATCCAAATTCAACCAACCAAAGAAAAACTAGATTAGCATGTAGTATCTTATCTTGGGGGATTAAACATTCAAATTCAATCCAATCCAACCCAAAATTCAATTCAATCCAACCACAGAAAAACAGGATGAAGGAAAACAAAGGGACACCAACACCCATTTCCCATCATGATGCAAGACAGGACATGTAGAAGAGGATCTTGATGACCTTTTGCAGACAAAACAAAAATAAAGCCGGAAAATACCGACAACATTACTTGTTGGCATAATAATGGCATTGTCAGAACCACAAGGAACAAAAGGCAAACAGTATAAACACGAGAACATCTCCTTTAAACTAAATCATAATCAACAAACCAATATACCAGAATATATTTGCTCAACAAACAATGCTTCACGACTTCATCTAAAAGTGGTCACGCTTCCTCCTGTTCTTGCAAAGATTTATGAGGACCACAAACAACCAACAAAAAACCTCTAAACCTTCATATTCCCAACCCAAACAAATACACCAAAATATTTTCTCATAAAATAACACATCATTTTTCTTGTTTTTCTAACAATGAAACACTCTTTACAGCAAATTTTTCCTTTCAACACACACAAAAAAAAACCCTCATAAACTTCATGCATATCCTTGCTCAACATCATCTTCCACAAACCAAACACCCGGGGTTTTTTTTTCCTTCTTATGTCCGTTTAAATGTACATGGTTCTTAAAAAATAACGAGTCATCTTCTGCTAAAACTCGAAGAACAAACAGTTAGGAGTTGGGAGAAACAACCTATAGGACTCTGTCTTTTGTTGAAAACTTGCTCATCTGAGTCTTTTTCTTTTTCTTTTCTTTCCTATTCAAACTTTTATCAAGAAAATTTAATCACTTCCCCATATTCCCAAAATATCATAGATCCATCTTTGATCGTCCACCTAAACACAAAATGATCCTCTCATTGTTAGAGAAAAATACAAGACATCTTTGTTCTTAATTTATTTTGCTATGGCAATTACCATTTGGGCCAAGATTGTTGATACCAGGATTAGCATCAAATCCCATTTGGAGAAGATTGTTAAGATCGTTATCCCATGCGGGCTGCAAGATAAAAAATAAAAAAAATAAAAAAATAAAAAAAAATACATTTTCATAAGTTAATGTATATATAATCAAAGATTGACTACATCCAAATACAATAAATAACTGGATTCCTAAAACAGCGTGTGTGTACCTGAGGGTGGATAGGATGCATCGGTGCAGTTGTGGGGTGTGGGTGTGAGTGTGGATACGAATGGTGGGATGAGCTTAATGCCGGGCTGAATCCAAACCCTGGATTGGAAGTGCTTCCCCGTGAATGAAGAATCTGCAACTAAATCATTTAGATCTTGCTTGTTAAGTTTTGTTCATTTAATAATTAATTACTTAATAACATAAACGAATTGAAACTCACATCTTTAAACACAAGGCGATCCATGTCAATGTTCAGTTCTGGATTCACAGTTGCTAGTTTCATTGATAAGAACTGCACCAGAAAATCAATAATCGCAGTTATTCAAAACATGTCATACAAAGGGATCTGGCTTAAACCAGATATAAATCTATAATAGGAACTTAACATACCTCCACCTGTTGTTGGAGCGACTGAACGTAGTTGATGATCTCATCAAGCATTACTGCTTTTCCAGTGATCTTCACCCAAATTAACAAAACCCCATCAGAAACTGAGAGAGAGAGAGAGAGAGAGAGAGAGAGAGAGAGAGATACCTTATTGCATCCAGGAACAAGTTCTTGAAGCAATTTCATTCTCTCACTGATCTTTTCTCTCCTGACCTGGATAGAGCAGAGCAAGGTCTATGAATATGATGAACGAAGAAGAAAAAATAAAGGATGGGGGCATATATATATATATATATATTTTACCCTTTCTGCAAGGCTATGACTGTTGGTAGCCTGGCCTCTTTTGGCTCTCACATGAATGTAGTTGTCTTTAGGAGCTCCCCCACTATCCGAATTATCCTTGGCTGCCGCTTGTTTACCTATTTGCTTGCCTACTCTCGAATCATGTTCAATTTTCTGTTTCTTTTCATCTTTCTCCGAGGTATCACCAGACCCATCGTTTCGTTCTTCTCTTTCACCATTCTACAACACACACATTTGTTAAATTTACACATTCAAACAGGATCAAGATTCGATTTTTCTTTTTTCTTGGCAGTAAAAAGGTACCGTGATGGGTTTGAATTGAGAATGAGGGGCTCTTCTTTTGTCTCTGCTATTTGGCGATGAAGAAGCCCCGCATTCAGGATTGAGGTTGTTAGCAAAGGGATTTACCATTTCTGAGAAACTTCCGCTTCCAAAAGACCCAAGTTTTGGGACCAAATCACCAATGCCTGAACCAGATTGATAATGATGAATAAGACCCTGATGATTCTCAAGCCCAACTGGGTAAGCCGATGAACCACCGAAATTCTCGAGTGGATCCCAACCCGATCCGAAGGGATTGCCAGACCCACTTGAAGACTTGTTGTTGAACATGGATCCTGAGCTCATTTCACCTCTATATTGGAAACCCATTTCACTATCATTATTATTATTATTATTATTATCCTCAGAAGAAGAAGCCATACGTTGTTATCAATCAACAAATACAGATGAAGAAGAAGAAAGAAGTAGAAAAGTAAAAGTAAAAAAAAGCAGTACAGGATCTACGAAAACTTAAGCTAAGCTAATACCTACCCAGCTAACAGCTATCATACACTTGAAAGGAGGAAACCCCCATTCCACGATTCACAGAAAGAAATATAGGGGTAAAGTTGAAAAAGTTGGGTTTGACCAAAAATAGGCTTAGGGTTACTCATATCTTGCAAGACTCAACAAGGAACAAAATGGCAGCTTTACAGTACAAAAGAAACCCTCCCATGGACAAAAGAATAGGAGGGAAATCCAGTGTAGCAGGGCATAAAATCTTACAACATACCAACACCTCTACTTACCCTTCAAAATGCCATGATGATCAAAGGATGAAAAGTAAATTGTAACAGACAAGAAAGTGTTAACCTTTCAGAGCATAAAGTAAAGTAGAGAAAGATGGAGTGAATGGACAGTAGTTGTTGCTAAGCTACAGCTTGCTGTGATTACCCAAAAAGAAAGCAGATTCCTTTTTTTTTTTATCCAATAAAATAAACAAAACCCGCAAGATTCCCAACCCAAAAACAAAGAAATGGGTATATCTTGACTTGATCCTATACTATGTGCATCATTAACAAACATTTCAAACCTTCAAAGAAACAAGGAGGAATGGAGTTCTTATGGGTATGGAATTTATAAGGAGATTCTTCTTAAAGAGGTTTAAATTCAAAAAGGGCAGACACCGAAACCCTTCAATGACTTGGCCGATATTACAAGACAGTTTTTTGGCAAAAAGAATCAAATCAAATTCTGAATAAATTTAAGCAGAAACTAGAATGGGTCAAAAGATTCTGCCCGGTTTGGTGATTCATGAAATGTTTATGATGGGAATACTAATTGTACAAGCAATAGCAACACAGCAAGAATGGGAAATTGCATAAAACAGTTAAAAGAAGCATCCAATTCCTACTTTTACAGATTAAAGACAAAAGATAGGGGGAAGCTACTAAGCAAGCTAGAGCCTAGAGAGAGAGAGAGAGAATATGTCCTATGTAACATACTGATATGTGTGCGCGAGACCAAGTAGCCTATGCTTACTTCCGGGGAAATGGTGGCTTGAGTTCATATTCGTACACTAAAATTACTGTTTTTGTCCATTTTTATTCATTACCCTTTCAAATCTAAGGTGTGTTTGGATTAGATTTTTAGTTTATTGTTTATAGCTTATTTGTGGTGGGAATAAGCAATAAACAATAAGCATGGGGAGTAATGTTTATTAAAATTAGCTTATTTAGCCTAATAAGCTGGATTTTATCCAAACACTTAAATTAGCTTATTGTGGGAATAAGCAATAAGCACCTCTTTTTTTCCTATCCAAACACCCCTAAATACATTCCTTAATAATTAAATATCTTTTTAGGGTACTTGCCGTTGCTCTCTAAAATTTTTTTATTTTATTTTTTTGAACAAGTAAAAGATGAATTTTATTAAAAAAAAAATAGCAAGAAACTAGAAGAAAAAAATTACAAAACATTACAAAGCAATGGGTTCTATAACCGTATTGTCCAATTGAGTTTACTTTTAGAATTCATATTCGAAAACCAATCAAAGGAATACATTGCAATTTTTTCAAAAATACTACTTCTTTTAATTTTGGACGATTGAAATATTTGATTATTTCGATAAGTCCAAAGCATCCAGATAGCGGTCATAATAATCACCTCCAAAACCTTCCTCTTCGCAACCGCCATATCCACTGTATCTGTCCATGTCAACACCTCAGCAACAATGATCAACATAGGTAAAGTAACATCAAACCATAATAAAATCAAGACCAAATCTGGGCAGCAACCTCACAGAACAGAAACACATGATTTGTATCTTCAACACATCGATCACAAGTCGGGCATAACAAAGAATGAACCTCAATACCTCTTCCACTGAGATTCAACCTAGTGGGGATTTTATGTAAAAGGACACGCCAAATCAAAACATTAACCTTTATAGGAGCATATTTATTCCATTGAGTTGGTATATTACTCGAGTGAATAATAACCTCATCAATATGAATGTGAGCACTCTTGACCGTGAATCTACCCTCAATATCAAGATCACAACTCCAAGAATCACTACCCTTAGTGATATTAACATTTTCAAGTAAGCAACGCAACACCAATAACTGATCAGTTATATGACCACCATTTATTTGTCTAATCCAAGACCACTCCCAATTACCATCTTGACATCTGTCAGCGATAACACAATCTTTATTAACTTCCAAAGCATACAATCTAGGAAACTGGTCCATAAGCTTTGTATATTCAACCCAAATATCTTTCTAAAACCAAATCAAGACACCAACAACAATCTTTTTTCACATAAAAGCATGGGGTAAGATATGTTTAGTATTTAGCTTATCAAATAACCGCACTAAACTTGACCAAATTCCTCCCATGTAACAACCCGAAATTTATATCCTTAATTGTAACCCTTTTCGCGACTCGTTCCGATCACCCAATCGCCGTTTCCGATTTCGTTTCCGTTTCCGACCTTTTATTAAGTCATTAATGTGAATATTATTTTATGACTTAATAAGTGTCTTAATACCCTTAGAACTCATTCTAACGTCTCATATTAATGATCGGAACATTTTTAGAACCAACCATATCGGGTTACGACAAATTGGCCGGGCACGACCAAAAGCCCCGTTTAACGCCGGTATCGGGTAGAATTCTACCATGTCCCGAACTTGGACACTATTTAAAGTGACTCAAGTCTCCATTTTGAAGCTTTTGCTCCATTTTACAACTATCACTCCAACCTCTCTCCTCAAACTAGATTTTTGGGTCAAAATCTCAAGTTTAAGGCTTCAAATCACCAAGGTACTTTCCCTAGCTTGTTATGTAACATTCTTAGCCTTCAAATTCGAATTCAAAGCATGGATTAAGACATCATTCATGAGTTTACGGCCATGGAACCCTCTTGGGCCGTAAACTCATATATAGTGGGTTTTTGAGCCCTTAAACCCCTCCTTGGCAAGTTTGAGACTTAGATATGGCTAAATGGCTTCAAGATATGGACCCTAAACAATTAAAACATGAAATTTGTGAAGTTTGAAGGAGTTTACGGCCAAGGATCATTCTTGGGCCGTAAACTCATTAAACTAGGGTTTTCATGCCCTTAAACCCTTCCAAACCACTCCTTTGTCTTAGTTATGAGTTATAGAACATAGATCTTTGCATTTGGACACTTGAAACACAATTTTTGGAGGACTAACATGAGTTTACGGCCAAGGCTTGTGCTTGGGCCGTAAACTCCATGAAACATGGTACAAATCCAATTCTAGGGTGTTTGAAAGCCATCCAACACCACCAAAAGCCTTGGAATAAATCAAAGGACCAACCAAAAATAGTTTTAAGGCTTTACAAACATCAAAACCCCACATTTGAGAGTTTACGGCCATAGAACATGTCTCATGGCCGTAAACTCATAAAAAGGTGTCAAATGGTGCCTTAAACTCATTTCTAGGCTTGTGGGAATTTTTATAATCACATGTGATTGATTTTAACACCTTAAAAACACTAAATCTTGGAGATTTGAGATTTTACGGCCAAAGACCCCATGCCTAGGCTGTAAACTCCCTTTTGTATTGTAAATGATGTTTTTAATTCAATCCAAGCCTTAAGAAAAATTAATCCAAGCATTTCCAAGTGTCCATATCCATTTATGACTCAATTTTGCCCATATTTGACCCCACCATGCGTTTACGGCCGTAAACTCATGGGGAATGGGTCTTGTGGCCGTAAACTCCCTAAAGGGGGTGTTCCTTTGAGGTCCCAACTCATTTCCTAAGTCCCTCTCATCATTCATGTCCCTAAACGCCACCCGGGTCCCTCCAAACACTTGTATCGGAGTGTTATCGCGACTTGAAGCATTTGTCCCTATCCAACAATCAATCTAAGTTCTAATTAGATACAAATGTGTATCTTTACCTTATAATTAAGAACCTCGTGTGTTTACAAGTCCCGGATCAACTCTTAGCATCCAAACCGTCTCATATCTCGTCCAGTGAATTCATACCCCTACCCTTTTTCAATGGTTTTTCAATGTTTTCAGGGGGGAATACAAGCAAAAGTACAAGTATATCTTGTACTCAATCACATGATTTCAATTAAATGGTTTCATAATTGTACACTTTAAGAATTGAAAACCTTTTAAACAAACTGTTTTAACTTGCAGAGTTGTTTGTTTTAACCCGATTTTCAATTCTTATTATACACTGTTATATTGTGTACTTGGTAATTGATTGTTCACATTTAAACTGATAGAATACATAAACCATTGTAATGTCTGTAATAAAACACTAAGGTTCGAGTGTAAAAGACAGACTCCATTAGAAAAACATGAAACATCTATATGTCCTTAACAATACACCTAGGCTCGAGTGTGATAGATAAATACCATCATAACACACAAATCACTGTAATGTCCTTAATAATACACCTAGGATCGAGTGTAAAGGACCATAATCATTAAATAACACCTAGGTTCGAGTGTAATGTCCTTAATAATACACCTAGGGTCGAGTGTAAAAGGACAACCATCATTAAATAACACCTAGGCTCGAGTGTAATGTCCTTAATAAAACACCTAGGCTCGAGTGTAAAGGACAGGTACGTAGAATATAGTCAGTTGTAAATACTACTTTCCTAGTCGAAAAGTAAAGAGTAATCTTAATGATTGGAGACACGTCCTTGTAACACTTCCATGGCACGAGATAGTGGGGGACTAACCCTGTAACCAGAATCTCCGTTCGTAGGAGAGCGTGGCTTGAGTGTATAGATCTATACGGGACTGACAATCCCACACCTGGCTGCTAGCTACAGCCGAACCGAAAGGTTCAAGGGTGACGAGAGTCATAAAAAGGATATTGACCACGGTTCGAGTCATATCTAGTCTGAGTATGGTTAAGGACTCGCAATCTAGATTATTAACGTTTCAGATTCATTTACTAGCTTTATGTACGTAGTAAAGCTAATGTACATTTAGGGATTGCAGATACACACACAGTCAGGAAAACATGGGGTTTTCCTGGGAAGAACACTGAACATAACCATAACCAGTAAAGACACACACACACAGTCAGGGAAACATGGGGTTTTCCTGGGAGAACACTGAACATAAACAAAACCGGTAAAGATATACACACAGTCAGGAAAACATGGGGTTTTCCTGGGAAGAACACTGAACATAACCATAACCAGTAAAGACACACACACACAGTCAGGGAAACATGGGGTTTTCCTGGGGAGAACACTGAACATAAACAAAACCGGTAAAGATATACACACAGTCAGGGAAACATGGGGTTTTCCTGGGAAGGACACCGAACATAGTCAGAAACTAGTAATAGTTCACACACACACAGTCAGGAGAACATGGGGTTCTTCCTGAGTAATAGTAGTACGAAATTAGAGAAGTGTAATAAGTTAAACAATTGAATTACATTTCACAAGAACAATCATGTTTTAATTAAACATCGTTTACTTTACTTTCAGATTTGGAAACTAACTTTACATAAGAAAATATGGGATTTTCTTGGATAACTACTTTTCAGGAAAACAAAGGAACTCGTACATTTTCAGAAAAACTAACTGCTTATGAACTCACCAGCTTTATGCTGATTTTCAAACCGCTTGTATTCTCAGGTCCGAGTTAGACAGGTACCCGAAGATCCTTTTGTGTGAAGACGGAGTTCTCAGAAGACTCATTTTGTATTGTTCATATATACTATGTATCACTTGTATAACTTATGCTTTTGAAACAAATGTAAAACTTTCATATATGTAATGTAATGGTTGATTTACTTTACTTACTATGTACATTGGATTTGATACTCTACGTGGAGTCAACCCCGGAAATGTTTCCGCCTTCGGTTTTCGGGGTGTGACATCCCACTCTCGGTTTTTCATCAAAACAACCCAACCCCCCAAACGGCCCATGTATACTTTTAATCACCTTAACCCATATGGCTCCATTATCTGTTAAAAACCGCCACTTTCATTTTTGAAGCAACGCTAGATTGAAAACTTTCAAGCTCCCAATCCCCCACTGTCAAAAGACGTCAGAGTTGTATCCCATTTAATCCAACGTATTTTCCTTTCCGTCTCATCCCCTCCCCAAAAGAATCGAGCTCGTAACATTTCCAAGGTATTACACACCGTATCTGGAACTTTAAACAGCGACATAAAGTAAATACCCAAACTCCCAAGCACCGATTTAATCAATGTCAACCGGCCGCCGATCGAATGCATTTTAATTTTCCAATTTGCAAGTCTTTTTTTTAACTTTCAACCACCATTTTCCATCCCTCCACCCTCCCCATTTTTGAACCTATAGGCAACCCATGGTACAAAAAAGGTAATTTTTCTACAGAGCAACTAGTACCAACCGCAAGGTTTTCCACTTCAGCAATAGACACTCCAATCCCAAAAAGATTAGACTTTTTATTAACTTCGATAGTCCACAAAATGTGTTTTTGTCGAATGTTTGGTCTCTGATTGACTTGAATTGACCATTTTTTCATTAATGTTATTTTAAGTATTTTTTTTATTATTTTTTTGAGTAAATTACAGAAATCGTCCATATGGTTTGGTTAAAATTTCACGTTTAGTCCCTAACTTTTCTTTTGCACTCGGATCATCCATGTGGTTTGATTTTGTTGCATTTTTTGTCCCTATAGTTTGATTTTGTTGCGTTTTTCGTCCATTACATGCATAAAGTTAGGGACTAAAGATGCAATTTTAACCAAACCACAAGGACGAAAAATGCAATAAAATCAAACCACAGGGACGATCCGAGTGCAAAATAAAAGTTAGGGACCAAATATGCAATTTTAACTAAACCACAGGGACGATTTCAGTAATTTACTCTATTTTTTAGAATTTTAAAAACTAGAAAAAATGTCTCACCTCCCTTGCATTCACTGTAACCCCCACCACATGTCTCTTTTTGTTTTTTTTTCAAGAACCCTAAAGTAAAAAAGAAGGCGTCGGAAAGGCAGAAACCTCAGATCATCTCCCGATTGTTTGTTGCATTCTCAAATTTATCAAAATCAGATCAGAAAGGAATAAACACTCCATTCTCCAGCTTCATCCTTTCCAATCAAGCAAAATCAGACCTAACATGAAGTTCAGATGAAATAAAAAATCCTTTTGTTGCATGTTTGTGTTTTACTTTAGATATAGATTTCGATTTATTGGTTAGATTTGGTTTTCACACTCATGATTTGTTGAAAACAACAATGGG